TCAAAAGATACGGCAGATATATAAAAAGTCGCCCCAAGTGAACTCTATTATACAAACTTATTTTCCTGCCAAACACCCTCAAAGCACTAGTAGCAGTAGTATTTTTACTTTTTGTTTCACAATCACTAAAGGATTAGGTTACTATGAGTCATCTGACTCATATCTTCCTTCCTATAAAGTACATCTCAAAGATGGGTTTTTAGAGATTGAGACCTCTAAAGTACATCTCAAAGATGGGTTTTTAGAGATTGAGAAGATGATGACTATTAAAACTAAATAAATTAAAATGCGCTTTCTTTGGTGAATTTGCTTTACATGGTCCATATATAGTTTTCGTTGGTTCCGTTTATAGAACGTCCAACTTACTGATGGACATTCATGGGTCAGCAGGCTCTTGCACCCACTGACTCATGGACAGCTTTTCCATCAATAAATTGAGGCCGTCCAAAAGTATCTTTTGCAGTTGTAACCTCTTCAAACTAGATTTGGGGTTGCAAATCAAGTTTTTTCTTTTGTTCTTTCACGTTTATTGAAATCATGTACTTAACTTTCAAGCTGGGAAAAGTGGTTGGGGTCGGGATGGTAGGACCCCCACATCTTAGTCATTATGTTGTAGTTTTCATTCTCATTAACACCTTAAAAAAAATTAACTAACTTTTAAAACTATTTGAAAAACTCTTAAAACTATTTGAAAAAATGGGTAGGGACAATGTTTTTCTCCATTGAATAACCAAAAAATAAAAAAAACTTTCAAGACTTCGGAATTAACTACTGTCTTTGGAGTGTTTTCAATTTTCAACTCCTTATGTTGTTGTCTCTTCAGATGAATTCTCTTATTAAAAACATACTTAAAAACGGGGTGTACATAGTATTAGACCGTGCTCATATAGTTACACCAAACGATAATCCTAAGACCTTTGTATTCCCTATTAATCTTTTTTTTTTTTGGGTGAATCACTCAAGATGACAACCTGTAACGCATTTTATTGAAAAATAAAAATTATTTTACAAGTGCCGTTAATTTACAACCATCGAAAAGGCAATTGTTAAAATGCAATTGTTAGTTTTGCTTTTACTATTAACGAATATATGAGTCAGCGAAAGGGGCTAGATGGTAGTACCTCCAAACCTGATGTACCATGTTGTGGTTGCCGTTCCCACTAAGACCACTCCAAACACTTTAAAAAAAAAAAAGAGGACTTCTCAACTATTTGAAAAAGTAGGTAGGGGTTTATATTCCCCTCTAAATTACCAAAAAAAAAAAAAATATTTCTTCAAATAAATTGCTATTAGGTCACGAAAGTATCCGATTCCATCGACAAATTATTCAACAATCTTTATCCAACAACTTTACTGACTTCGATAGTCCTAGGAGTTAATCCTAAGATGCCTAAACCATGTGATAGAGATATCTAATAATTAATCGAAATTTAGTTGGAACTTTTAACATACACTTATCAAAAAATGGTATTACTATTTTGCATCCAACCTTGCGTCAAGAAAGCGTTTGGTGGCTTGCGTGCACTACTATAATAGTAATAGTAGTAGTAATATACACACATATATACCAATATCTTGTTCTAGTTAATGGAAAATACCTACCACCACTACTGCCACAAGAAGACAAACACAGTAGTGTCTGTTGGTATTTTGAAACGAGTTTAAAATGTTGGATTTCACCAGGTTTTGGGCTTAACAAAACTTTTCGTCGAAATTTCGTGGAAGAGATTCAGATATTTTTTTTATCGATATATTGTGATTTTTTCATATTCTAGCCTAAAGAAAACCAAATAGTTTGGTGTTTGTTTTTTTGCTGAATTTATAATTGTGAATTGTAAAGATGGTGAGCTGGAACACTGGACTTTTGATCTTCTAAGGCTTAGAAGAATGTTGTTTATAGATGGGGGTTAAAAACATGGTTTTTTTTTCAGTAAATTCCATGGTTACCCACCTATACTAGAAGCAGTTATAGACATTATAACGAAACTTTGTAAGAAGGTATCTCGAAAAATCTATGAAGATAAAATCGCATCCCAAGAGGAAGATCAATGTTTTACTACCGATCACAAGTTTAGGGTTGGGCGCAATATTTAGCATTTTTTCGAGAGGTAGCGGTTAGTTGGAAAGGTTTGTCACTTGTGAATATAGGAGCCGGCCACACAGCCAAACTTTCCACTCCTGAACGACTGAATGAAACAAATGGTCACCTTTCCAAATTGGGTCCCTCCATGTGAGGCATTGCAGTTTTGTCATATGTTTCATAAATCATGTGTTGTTAATTTTTCTCATTTAGAGTGTCGAATAAATTCGCCAAAAATAAGAATCATATTTTTCAATGTGATAAAGAATAGATTTAAAAAATCAAATATTTATACAGAAATTTGGAGTTATTTGTCACTATTAATAACTTACAAGAGAAAAATTTATCTAGAATTTTGTACCACAGTTATCAGACCGATACCTTGGCCAGTCCGGATCAAAGTAAAACCTTGGCATGATAGAAATCTAATTAAAACTATATTTAACCGGTTTTATATGGTCAAACCATCGATTTTAACCCATTCAACAATATAAATAAAATTAAGTAAATTTTAAATATATTTTATATTTTTAAATTATCATATATATATTTTTATTAACTTTTTAAATCCGATCCAACTGATTCGACTATTTAAATTTAACAATCATAACTTAATAATGGAATAAAACTCAATCCAATATAAAAAGAGAAAGCACATAAACTTGATCAAGCATGTAGGCAAGACCCAAAGTACAAAAGCAAGGGAGGGAGAGAGATAAGCACTCAACACGTAACCTAAACAATGGATACAAGTCACTGTAGCAAATGGTGGACTTTCTTTTTCATAAATTCATGGCTTTTACCAAGATAAGTTGCAATTGAAAATATTTTACTCCTAGGCATTCATTTTCAAAAACGGGCCCACAACTTTGTTTTAGGACCATACGCTTTGGGGACCATAGTATTGATGACAAATATTAAAAATCGTATGTATGTTGATTTAATGTGCGATAGTTTTCATATTGTCATGAGATTTGTGTCCTTTTCATCCATGGATTTTTCTAATCCTTTGACAAAGCAAAAGTCACTAACTTAAATTTAGTAAAGTAAAAGAGCGCGTATACTATGCTCCCTCGGAAGCTTTTCAAGCCAATCAACTCTGGAGAAAGTGAATTGCCATATTGGGACCGCAAGGACCGTGGATTTAGCAATATTTATATGATATAAGATTAAATGAAACATTTTTACCTTATTCATACTACGAAATTTTTATTTCCCCCATAAGTTGCCATGTAGTGCTAATTATAGGCTAACAGGTACCCCAAATGAAAATGTGGATCTAGGGGTCATGTTTTTATGCGCACTTTTACTATAGTCGTCTCGAATCAAATGTCCTTTTCGTTGATATTTCTTTCGAGTCGTTTGCTTCTTTGGTTAAAAGAGTTCCATGCTTTTCCTAGTTATCTATTGTGGTCCTTTTTCAATTGAAGGTCTACACAACGCTTTTTCTTAGGCCGTTTCTTCCTCACAGCCCATGTCTTAATCTTTAAAGTTGCCGTACCTAATTTCTCTCCTAGTGGAATTCTTTATTTTTTATAATATAGAGACAGGAGAAACGACTTTATTTGCTTCTATGGTGTAAGCACAAAGTTAATTTGATCAATTCGAAATAATTCCAATATGTTAAATATCATAAATTTGAAATATTGCTTGAAAAAATTTATATAAGGCTTAGGCCTAGAAAGTAAAGCTACACTTCATAATATTGTTTTGGTACCGAACAACTCACAAATTGATCATCTTGATCTCAATAATTATGACTATGAAAAAATAAATTTCAAATCTTAAAAATTCCTTTTTAACATAAATGCTCTGGCCTTCTACAAATCACATCCATCATTTAGTTTGATAGTGTTAGGAGTCGGGCTTGAGCTTAAGTGGTAAGCAGTGCTACATCTTAAGTTTGATTCTTACTAAAAGTAGCTAAAAATAATAATTTTGATATTTTCAAGTATGTGCCTTCCATCTTCTATCTCTTGCATTTTCCTTGCATTCTTTTTGTTAGTAAATGTATCACCCACAATGTTAAAACTTTTGTCACCTTTAGATTAATGGTGACATCTGCTTTTGTCTGTTCTTGATTCAATTTTCTCTGCCATGTATTTCAATAGTAAAACAAAATAGTGTGAAGTGCGAATTTTGAAGGCCGCATGGAAAAAGCAAAATGAGAGGTCATCTTTTCTTCCTAAAAGGCCAAAATAGTCTTGATTGGAAAGAAGAGGCGGATAAGGGTGTGGTGCTCATATAGGGTTTATGAAAGGATGAAGTTTCTATAAGGCCTAGGTTTTATTAAAAGAAAATAAAGCTTCATCTCAAAATCTTCTTTCAAAAAATACTTGTGGCAACAAAAATATCTATGATGGCTCTAAAATCAATTTTTGATACCGATAATAAAATTTAAAACTCAAAAAATTATACAGATCTAATCTTGCAGATCAGTGAGCACTTATTTTTAAGGCGAAATAGATGGTCTAGATAATTTATTACAATGTACATTATTATTAAAGCTTTAAAGCCTATTTTTTTTTTCACATGCCAGATGATTGATGGAAGCGATTTTTAGTTAAATTGTAATTTTCAATGAGTTATGACGAGATGCTGTTTTTATTGGAAATTATTTCATATGGTTTGGACCACATTTCTATATGTACGATTTGAAAAATATAAAGTATTCATCTTAAAGATGGATGCAAGCCGGTGTTCTATCTAAAAACAATGGAAGTTAATGGTTCAAATGTTTTTTTACTAGAATTATTATTTCTCACTTTTAAATTTTTTTTATTTTTTCGTATTGATGATTTCTATGTTAGAGATTACATCTTCTTAAAAATTAAGTCTTAAAATTCATCTTAAAAATAGATTTATTAGAGGCCCGAATCTCTAGCTTTGCCGCATAAAAACCAGGTCCGTCCTTATTCTGATAGAGGTGCGGCCCTATCAAGCCATTTTCCTTCCTTAAATATATAATAATCCACCTCCGGACAGAGAGAGGGAGAGCTGCTTTTCTCAGTATGTTTTAGAGGGACGTTTCAGCCTCTCACTGTGGATTTTGGGGCTAAAATCTCGGCTTATTTTTTTTTATTCTCTGCCATTCACTGTCACCCCAACCCCAAAAACTGCACACAAAAGAAGACCCTCTTCCCCCTTCTCTATGCATCCCAACCTCATCTCTCTTTGGCTCTCTCTCTCCTCTCCATCTCCACCGAACATCTGTTTCTGACTCTGGATTCTGTAATGGCTGTTTCTCTCTCAAGATTTGCCCCAAGATAGGTACCCATCTATTCCCCAAGGAAAACCCATAATGTAAAAACTCATTTCCAGACCTCGGAACCCCAGCTCTGATGGTGGTTTCCTGCAACTAGCGTTTTAGAGCGAGAGAGATGGGTTTGAGGAGTGAGAAACGGAGACACGAAGAAACCCATGTCTCTGCTTTTCCAGATGAGGTGCTGGAAAACGTTCTGGCCTTTGTGAAATCGCACAAGGATAGGAGCTCTGCGTCCCTTGTGTGCAAGCATTGGTATGAGGTAGAGAGATGGAGTAGAAACAGTGTTTTTATTGGGAATTGCTACTCTCTTTCTCCTGAAATCTTAGTCAAGAGGTTCCCCAACATTCGAAGCATAACACTGAAGGGGAAGCCCCGTTTCTATGATTTCAATCTTGTTCCTCCTGATTGGGGTGCGGATGTTCACTCATGGCTTGTTGTATTGGCAAAAGCTTACCCTTTTCTTGAGGAGCTCAGGCTTAAGAGAATGACTGTTGAGGATGAAAGCCTAGAGTTTTTGGGTCAAAGTTTCCCCAATTTCAAGGCTCTCTCTCTAGTGAGTTGTGATGGATTCAGCACTGATGGGCTTGCTGCAATTGCATCTAGTTGCAGGTACTATGATTGTTTTCTGTAAATCCCGTAATTTCTTTCTCTTTCGTGTTTGTTTTTAAATTTTTGGGTGATACGTGAATTTTCCATTGTTTGATTGGAGATGTTGAGTGATGGAGGTTTATTTTTTATTTTTAAAAAAGGGAGTGTTTTATCGTAAAAGGGGACATTTTGGAATATTTTTTTTAATGGGTAATGATTTGTTTTCTTTTTCTGGGTAAGTTTGATACATTAAGTAGATCTTTAAATTAGTGATGGGATTTTATGAATGTGAGGGTAACTGAACTGAAGCTCATTTTTTGTGAAAGTGGGATTGTTTGTGTTTTTTTGGAAAAAGTTATTCCTTTCGAAGTTTTTGTGCTTTTTTTGAATAATTTTCCTTTCTCCATTTTTATATTTTTTGTGCAATCTACTTGTCATTGAGCACGATGGATTTAGGCATTATATGCAATATATTGCTATAAATTTGAGATTGAGATGACACCACATTTATTGTAATTATGAAAATAGAGCTTTCCCAGTCTAGTAATTACCATTTTTGAGGTTGGTCTTCTAGCATTCTTTCCCTGTTTTTTTTCTTCCTCTTTTCCTTAGACAAATGTTGGTGGATAAACTATTATTATCACTATGCTTGTAGTTGATTTGTAAGTAGTAAGAGTCATAAGATTAATTCCCTATTCTATGTGATGGCAAATCAAATTAATTTGGTCAATCAGTTTTTTTTGTTTGTTTGTTATGTGATTGTTCTTTGTTTCAGTGTTAGGAGTGACTGAAATCTGTCTGTCTTTGTTGTTAAATTATTTTCTGGGGAATCTCTTGACTTTTTCATTGATAGTTACGGGATGCTGCTTCTTTTAGCGGTCTATGGTTTGTACAAATATGTTTTTATTTTCCAATCATTTAAGTAGGTGGGCATCCATAATGCATATGCATTTTGATTTTATCTTCCAAATTTTTTTTCTCAATCATTCTTTCCTGGACCCTTCCAACAAGATGATCATGGCTATTTGAGCTTTTCTCTAGATAACTTGTTGGAAGTCAGGAAAAAGCAGTCCTGAATTTTGCCATTCTAAACGAATTTTGTTTTGTTGAAACAAAGGTTTTCTGATATTGTGAAATTGCTTAAAGGGCCTGGAGGCATTATTGCCAAATTGCATGACTTCATACAAGCTTGTGGATCTGTGACAAAACTTTCTTCTAAAGTTAGTATGTGGCTCCTGTTACTTTTTGTTTTCAGTCCATGTAATCCATGTACTCTATTGGTCATTCCGCACAAATTCACAATGATTGAATGTCATATTTGACTTTATCAATTTCAACATAGGCCCCTCACCCTAGCGACTGAAATTTGTGTCAAGGTTTTCTCTTCTGTGTTTCTTTTCTCATTTTTTGCTTTTAGAATCACAAAAAGGAGAAGATAGAAAAACACATCAACTGCTGAGAATGAGATTTGGTAGTTAGAAACCGAAGATAAGAGACTTGTATACATTCAATTTACACAAACTCTTGTAATAGTTAAACAGTGGGTCCGTTTTATTTGCAATGGGAAACCAATTTGTCTATGTTTGTAACTGAGTAACATTGTAAACCTTATGATTCTGTGATTTCAACTTCTCTTTACATGAAAGATAAATTGTTTTACGGTCATGGAAGTTAGGACCCCCTGAATAAGCTTGCTTCTGTGAAGGCTTCAAATGTTTGGAACCTCCACTTTTAGCCATTTTTTAATTATTCAATTGTGCAAATCTTGAGAAAGTTAACATTTCTAAACAGTGGCCGCATTTGGCGTTGTTTCCATTTTTCAGAAATTTGTTGATCTACAGAATTCTATCAGTTATCTCCAAGTATTTTTTTGGTATTATTGATTTTAATCTTCTCCATTTGTTAAGTGACGATTTAGATTTCCAATTGAGTTTGGCTATTGTATGTTCTTTATTTCTCTATGCATTCGACTGGTCAGTTTGTGAGATGCATATTGGCATTTCTAGGCTTGGTGTTGTAAATTGAAGAAAAAAATGGCCTATTGATGAACTTAGCACACAATATAGATAGAATGGTCTTTCTGCTCAGTGTGGATGAATGTTGTTAATTTGTATCTTCTTTCTATTGGAGTAGCGGTGGGCTTAATTTTATTCTCCATGTGGACCTTAGTGAATTGATTCGCCTGAAGGTTGAAAATCCTCTGAGAAGACCGAGGAGTCCTATGTGTTTAATGTATGTTTATTAAATGTTTCCCTAGTTAAATGTTTTAGTTGTTATTTGCTTTTCATTTTTTGTAGATCTAAGGTGACTGGAAACATGGTGCATGTTTTATTTTGAGAATATGCTATTCTTTGATTTGATTATAGTTGTTGTCCTGACAAATTTTCTTTACTTTTCTTTTTTAGTTCTCATTCCTTATTAACATTTCTTCATGCCATTTTGGAAAATTTCCTTGGAATTAGGCTTAAATGGTATTGGGTTCTTATGCTGCTATTTTTCCTTGTCTGAAAACCATTTGGGAGGGTGGTACAATTCGTTTATCATGTTCTTGTTAATTTTTGGATGCTCTGTTGTTTATGTATATCAACTTCTTTGGTAGTTTTCCCATGTAATATTTTCCTCCTTGATCATTGGCCTTTCAAGGAATGTAACATTAGTTCAGTCATTCAAATTGCATATAGCAGAATTGTTGGGCAAGTTGGAAAGTCATTTCGCCCTTGAAGATGTGAAAAGATTGTTTTGTTTATTTTGGCTAAGAGTGCTGTTACTCAAGTTAATGGCATTATTATCATTTTCAGAGGTGTTTGTATTGTTATCATTTTTTTGCTGGTATAATTTTGTTTTTTTATTTTTTCTGATCTTACCTGGATTTGGATTGCTACTGACTTTGAAGAAGGTTCACTTGGTATACACTGAAATTATTGATTGCATGAACATTTGGTTTCATATTTCATTAGATAAATTTTTTTCTCGCTCTCATGTAAATATTTTACATCAATGTTTAAAAATTATTGATCCTGATCCGAATCGCCCAATTCAGATCGTAAATTGTCCTTGCCATCGGATTGTAATATATCGGTATCCAGCTGAGTCCCTCTAGAACTGGCCGGTTCTCTACTGGTCCTCTGATAGAAAACTGGAAAGTTCTTGAGTGAACTGATGCTTTTCCACTTTTTTTGCAATTCTTTCGATTTGCAAATCTCAATTTTTTAAAAATAAAAAATAGACCTGCCCCAGCCCACCAACCTTTAATGTTGATATGTGGCTTCACTACCCACATGTCTGCATCCCACGAATCTTTAATGCACGTGACATCACAACCCACATGGCCCAACAAACACCCCACACGTCGCATGGCCATGCCATCTTCCACTCCCAATGGATTTTGGAATGGGGATGTAACTTTTTTAAACACATATTTTCGTCCTTGAAGTTCCGATGTGAGACTATTTTTCTTTGGGCTCTTTGGCCACTTTTACACCATGCTCTTTGATTGAGCGAAAGAGCCTAAAGCAATAACTATGTAAAGTGATGAAAAACTTATGTAAACCATTAGGTCTCTTGGTTGAAATATGATTTTTTCATAATAAGTGAAAAACCTATGTAAACCCACATGTTACATGTTTAAAATATGATTTTTTCCCCCTAAAAAACCCAATAATTAATTGTTCAAAGAATGTTTTGAAAAGAAAATTTTTACTATAAAACTGCTTTTTGTACAATGCCTAGTTTCTTTTTACTCTAAAAGTTTGCGTTAGAGATATCTATTTTATTGCAATGAGCTGTATTTAAATACTATTTTGACCATAAAATTGAACATAATTGATGACAAACACTCAGACATGAAACAAGCTCTCAGTATTTATATATTTTTAGTAAAATAATGAAAAATTGTAATGTAATACCATTCGTTTTTTTGGAAACCTAAAAAACTAGATTTTAAAGCAATTCTATTGACTTTTTGAAATTGTTTTAATGTCGGCCCTTGCCGATCTGGCCGATTCCTCTATCCGGATTGCCGATCCACCAATTTGACACAGTTTTTTGGATGGCCGATCCGGGTCACCGATCTGTTTTTTTTAAACCTTGTTTTACATTAAATTATGCACAAACTGGACCTTTCTTATTTTCTTTTAGATGTTACAAGCTTATGGCACAAATATATTTTTTTCTAGCTTTTTCTTTTTTTAATTTTTTTTGGTTTCCTTAGTTGTTTAGTGGTCAAGAACTATTGGTATCTGTTATTTCAATAATTTCATGACATTATATAATAACCATCAGCTTGTGATTTTCTCTCGGAAATTCATATCTATATTTCAGGAATTTGGAGGAGCTGGATTTACAAGAGAATGGCATCAAAGATTATGGTGGGCATTGGTTAAGCTGCTTCCCTGAGAGTTTTACATCCATGGTGGCTCTCAATTTTGCAAATCTCAACAGCGAGGTCAATTTCGATGCCCTAGAGAGGCTTGTAACAAGATGCAAATCACTCAAGGTCCTTAAGCTCAATAGGAGTGTATCTCTAGAGCAGTTGCAGAGGCTTCTAGTTAGAGCTCCACAGCTCACAGAGCTCGGAACTGGCTCCTTCTCTCAAGACCTGAGCCTCAAGCAATATTCTGAGCTCGAGCAAGCCTTTAGCAATTGCAAGAGCATACACACTTTATCAGGACTATGGGAAGTCACTTCTCTCTATCTACCTACCATATATCCAGTTTGTTCAAACCTCAAGTTCTTGAATCTTAGCTATGCTGGCCTGAGGAGCCCTGAACTTGCAAGGCTTTTAGAGAGCTGTCCTAATCTGCAATGCCTTTGGGTAAGAATTTGGTCCCCTTACCTTTCTTTTCCTAAATATTTCATTTGTTTTTTCTTTCTTTCTATGGAATATCGCTTCTCCATCATATCTCAAACTATATTTGATGATCATACGAGTATGCTATTATGTGATGGTTTATGTTATGCGGTACTAAAAGGCTACATCCTATGTTCATTCATGACTAGATGGTTGGATATTAATTGCAATGGGGCTGAAATTGACAGTCACCAGGTTACAATTGATCTCCGACCTTTTTCCTTTGGGCATGAAGTACCATGTACTGTAATCTATTGGAGTTTGGATTCTGGAGTACTTTCCCTATTTAAAGTTAGTTTCATTAAAGTGATTAAAATATTTCGTATTTGAAGATTACATCTTATTACTCAAAGCTACTTCATTAATGAAGCCAAGGTGCTTACAATGCTTCTTCCTCATTCTTCATGAGATATAAATTTATGTGGGAAAAGAAGTTTCTCTTTGGATGTTAAAGAATATGCTAGAAGTGGTGTCTAAGCCTAGGTGTTAAGGGGATGGGGTGATAGAACATGATGTCTGGAGTTCTACTCCTACCATGGTCTTGAGTTAACATTTGAAAAAAAAAGAGTTCAAGAATATGCTCCATGAGATCCGATAATTCAAATTTTTGGCTGTGTTTTTACTTGTTCATGCATATATTCTATATTAAAATCCTCTACTGGTTTCCTGTGCCTTCTATGATCACTTAAATTTTGCAGTTTGAGTTAACCTGATGACTGGTTGGGCTCTTCTTTTTGTCTCTGATTTAATTCAATTGGACTAGCCAGGTTAAAAAGGCAAAACACCTGTTATGAATGTCTTAGCTTTCCATATGATTGCAGAAAGTTTCTTCACTTCAAATTTGAGTTTTCGGGCAGCAATTTGGTAAATTTCACACCGTTAGAGGTCAAAACTCATAATTTTTTTTTTTGAGAGGGTGGGAGGGGGAAGATGGAAAAGTTCGAACTTTTGGCAGTATTTCTTAATTGGCAGAAACTTGGTCTGAAACTTATGCCAAATCTCTAACACTAAAGTGCTTCTAAGTTTGGCTGGCATAGGTTGAAATCGGGGGTGAAATGGTGAACATCAGATTCCTATTTTCTGCTCTTCAATTGTCCACCACTCTGGAAAGATATTAAATTTGAAACTGAATCAAAGTAACCATGGAATCCATGTATCAAATATAATTTCTCAAACATTGTATGAAGCCATTGCTAAATTACTTTTGAGACTTTGTTACCAAATCACTGTGCATTTTCTAAATATTGTATGAAGATACTGCTTAGAGGTGGCACTTGGTGTGAATGTATATAGCCAAGAAAATGCATACTACACTTGACACTTACATTGCCCATGTTGTTATGCACAGAGGGTATTAGGATACTGCTGAGCAAGACACTAAGCATGAAGATATCACCAGAGAAGAAGCTTTCCATCTAAGTTCATTTCAAAATGTTTTTTATTTTTTAATTAATGTCTTCATCTTCATCTTCTCAAAAGATTTATATTTGATGAGTACGAACTTTCATCACAAAATGTTATTGACGCATATCCATCCTCCAGGTGCTGGACACTGTAGGGGACAAAGGCCTTGAGGCTGTGGCATCGAGCTGCCCAAACCTCAAAGAGCTCCGTGTCTTCCCTGCTGACCCCCACGACTTTGATGCTGGCGGTGTCACTGAGGCTGGTCTCGTCGCCGTGTCCCGCGGCTGCCCCACCATAAATTACATCTTGTACTTTTGCCGGCGCATGACCAATGAGGCTGTCTCCACTGTTGCCATAAATTGTCCGGGCTTCACCCACTTCCGACTTTGTATCCTAAACCCCTATCAACCTGACCATCTAACCCATGAGCCCATGGATGAGGCCTTTGGTTCGGTGGCTCGATATTGTCCTATGCTCCAAAGGCTCTCTATTTCAGGTCTCTTGACTGATAGGGCCTTTGAGCTCATTGGTATGCATGCCAAGAAACTCGAGGCCCTCTCTGTTGCCTTTGCCGGGTCGACAGAGAGCGGGTTGGAGTATGTTTTGCGGGGATGCCTTAAGCTTAGGAAGCTCGAGGTGAGGGATTGCTCGTTTGGTAATGCCTCTTTAATGTCGGGGATTGAAAGGTATGAGTCAATGAGGTCTTTGTGGATGTCGGCATGTAATGTTACAATGAGTGCATGTCGATGTTTGGCAAGAGAGAGACCAAGGCTCAATGTGGAGGTTATTAGAGAGGAAGAGGGTGACGGTACAAAGGCAGAGAAGGTGTATGTTTATCGGTCTGTTGCTGGGCCAAGGAAGGATTGCCCACCCTTTGTGCGCACGCTTTGAGACTGATGGTGGTGTTGTAGTTGTGGGGTTGCATTTGTATTTGGATCTGTCTTGTAGGGGCTGGCCTAGCTGGGTGGGGTGCTCTTCTTTGTCATGACGATTTTGGGTGATTCCGTGTCTGGTTGCCGTTGATCGTGAGATATTTATTTTGCCTCGCAGGCGTGTCATGAACTATCTGGCCAGCTGTTTGGGTATTTTCTTTGCAGCATTAAGTTTTTTTATTGGTAATGTCTCTCTCTCTCTCTCTCTCAAAATGGATGGCTGATGATGCATGTCTGGAACTGAACAGTATTATGGTGCTATCTGTTTCAATGAATGGCTGATAGCACATGCATCAAAGTGAAACATTATGGTACATGTAACACTTTCCATGTATCATAGTTTTTACAACCGTTACGACCCAAGATAACAGCATATTGCATTTTACAAACATTACAGTGGGCTTCACGGTCACCACCATCAAATATAAGCTACTATTTGATGATATTTGCTATAAGCCTGTGACTACAGTGGTTGTTGCTCTGATATTGTAATGGTTTCTAAAGCTCTGCTGCTACACGTGATACGAGCTTTGCGGGTTTTCTTCATGAAAGGATATGCATGCAGACGTTTATAAAAAAATTTAGCTACGCTATTTGCCTTCTTGTCATTTTAGGAAGGAAAGTTTCTGTTACTTGGGAGTTGGGTAGCAGCATCCACTCACTGTATTTATGCAGACAGTGGGAAATGAGTCATGTGCTGCTTTTTAGCGCCATCCTTGTTTTAGGCACATCCACCATTTGCCTAAAATGATGGGTAGGCTTTTCAACAGGCAGGACTTGGGCTTGGGCAGGTCTGGGCCTTGCCTGGATAAATATAGCCGGCCTGGCCGAAGTGCCGCTGCTAGGTTTCCCAGCCAAGCCCTTGCCTTGGATTGGTTCCAGCCAAGCTGGACCTCATGGAATTCAACAAAAGAAAAAAAAACCTGTTAAATAACATGAAGTACCTGGCCTGGATCAGCCCTCGGGTTGAGGTTGTCTGACGGTGATCCTGCCCTCTGGCTAACTTGTTTGGGCCCGGTTTTTTCTTCGACCAGGCCTTGACAGCCATAATGATGGGTATGAGTGTTCATCAAGAATCAGGCCTCTCTATTAGGAGGGCCCGATAGTTGATTTGCTTAAGAGCTTCGTTGAGAGCTTTTAACTGTTGGCCCTTGCAATAAATTTTTGTGGTTACCCTCAGGAAGCTATAAAAATTTCATGTTATTCATCGATGTTCAAAGTTGAAATATATCTATGCAGCTATATTCTCTGCCTTAGATCCGTACAAAGAGCTTAAAAAATGGTGCATATATGATGATTCGTTTGAATAATTGAACGCTATCCATACTTCAGATATCTACTCCATTTTCTGTTCAAATTCGGTTAAGGAAATTTTTGCAAGAGCAATTTAAATATCTGGCGTTCAAGAATAAAACCCGAGTTTAAGCATGTGAGTTGCAATTCACTGTATTAATGATTTGCCAATTTAGATGTTTGGATATCGAGGGTATTACTTTTGATAGGACAGAATGACATAACAACATTCATATAGCAGACTTTAAATTGTTGGGGATAATTTTAGGATGATGATGATGATTTTAGTTGTTCAAGGAGTTCTCAAATTCATAACTGTACTTTTTTGTTTAAACACGAGATTTTATTGATCATTGCTGCAAATTACATAAACGAACCAGATAAAACAAAATCCCGTGTCCACATCCTGCTTATCAAATGCATCTTTATTTGGTGGCACTTACTGTTGTATCTGTGATGAGAGAAAAACATACCATTGAGGCAGAGAGGGACCACTGAGAGAATTGTTTTAACTGTAATGGGAGAGAGACATACGACCACAGAGAGAGAAAACCAATTGAGGGGCTAGGAGAGAGAGATGAGGGTAGTGCTAGAATGGAGATCCCTAATGGTCGCCTTTCCCTCCAGAGAACGAAAGTTGTGGCATTTGAAGTTCTGAAGAAGTTGGCCAGCTCTAGAGAATTCAGATAGTAACACTCATGAGAGGCGAGGAGCGGTGACATCCGGCCTGAAACGAAAATCTTGGCTGATATGTGGGAAACAAGGAGGGTACTAACCAGTTTTTAGTTTCGTAGAGAAGAAGTGAACCCCACTGCTCTATGTGAGAGAAAGAAGGATTGATTTTTTATTTATTTTTGGGTGAACTCCTTTTTTTCTTATGCTTTTTAAAAGGATAAAGCTTCGAACTCCATGGCATCTATTAGCAACTTAGTTATAGGAATACAAAAATCATCCTTAGGACAAGCGACATTCAAGTCGCAAAAATCAATACAAACTCAAATTTTCTCAGCAATATACTCATTGACCACGTAGGATGAAAAGTTTCATGTATGAAAGTAGATCTTATGAGCTTGTCAACTTTATCGTTTACTTGAGCCCCCAATTTGGGGCGGAGCTATATTGACCGTTTTCAACTTGCTTTTGTTTGGATCTGTAGCCTCTTTACGTTTAGCTAGGTAAGTGTTTATCCAAAAAAGGGGTTGAGATCAAAGTAGTAGCACACCCCATACCTTAGTTGCACGTTATAGCTTTTAAAAAATCACTAACTAATTCAAAAAACGAATAGGGGCTGTGATCCTACTGAATTACCCAAAAAAAGAAAAAAAAAAAAGAAGCTAAGTGTCCATTCTTGGCATCTCTTTATAATGTCCATGTTAAACTGGTCAGGGTCCATTCCTAGCATCTCTTTACATGTCCATGTGAAACCGTCCTGATTTTCTCGGAGGAAGCATTTATACTCTTCCCCTTGCCCTCACTTAAGGCTGCACTTTTAAATGTGGGAATTAGATTGTCCTCATCTCCTAAGTGGATTTCAAGCAACTAATCAGCTATGTTTCAAAATGTGAAACATTTGTCGGCATCAAGCCTCTCTAATTCTTTCCAACTAAATTTGACCTCAGATAGGACAGTTATATTCATCTATTGGGTGCACATGGAGGGCCTAATCTTCAACTCATATCCTATGTCATGTGAAAGGCCTTGAGAGAATAAAACTAAAGAAATTTGATGGATTGAGATGGAGCCGGGTAGGGGTACCCGGTTCATAGATTTCGGCGGTTGTGGCTGTGGGAACCCTGTAGAAGTGTCGATCACAAGCATCTTTTGAAGTTGTTGTCTTGCCGGCGAAGCTTGATTTTGAGGCACGGCGGCCGCTACCATGGTGCTGATCGCGTTCCTTATGTTGGTTGCTGCACGGCCTGGGTCGGTTGCCCGAGCTCCAGTTGCCGGGCCCTTCAGAGATTTGTGGTTGAATGATTGTCTCATAGTGCTTGAGCAAGTTCTCAATGCTAGCAGCCTTAGTGATCATGTCAGAAAAGGTGAGAGTATTAGATGCCTCAGACATGCAATGATATCTCTTTGCACATGTTTTATATGAATGTTTGCATGCATCGACCTCAGGCATTAGGTTACTTTTGATAAACGGTGAGGTCTCTCCACCTCTGGATGAACTTATCACTGGCTCGTCAGGATCTTGGGTCATGGTGAGGTGTTCGATTGTTTGTACTTCACGTTCCATCTCATAGAAGCATCGCTGATCCGGCACATATTTCTAGCACTGGGGTTGATCAATGTAAGCTGGGTCGGGCTTCTTGTACAACTTAGGCCCCTACGACCCAAGAATTTGAAAGCATCTCGAACTTTGATTGATCATGGCCTGGATGACTTCCTGAGTCACTTTCGGCATTGGGGCGGGAGGCGTTAGCATGCTAGTGGAATATGGACGTGGAGGGATAGGTGCCATAGAGGGATGTGGACTTCAAGCGACTGTTGGGCAGCGGGCGAATTGCCCCCATGGTGTGGATATCCTATCGGCTACCTCGCGTTCTCGAACTCCTTGAGCCGTTCTATGAGCTGATTCAGAGTTTGTGCGAGGTGAACAAGCTAGTTATCGTGGTCATCGCCCTCCTGATTGACCATCATGGCATCGGCACATTCCCTGTGCACTGGTTCACTGGAGACTGTGGGTGGCAGTACTTGGGTTAGGACGAGTTCTCTCAGCAACATGCAGGGGGTGTCGTTAAAACCACCTTCTTCTAGTGGGGGACTGGTTGGGGCTCATCTTCCTCCTGTTCGCTGATTACAAAACATTAGGTCAGCGAGTCGACCTCTTCCTCCATCTCTACTCTCAGAGGGTAGAATGGGTTACGATTCTTAAGGGCATCCCAACCACTTGAGTTCAGCAAATCCTTCTGCCTCAAAGGTAATTGGACTTTGCCTTTCAATTGGGTCTTCAAGCTTCTGCAGATGCCTTGCCAGACATGGGCATGTTTCGCCGAATGGTGTGCAATCCCCTCCTCTCCTCCTTTAGTTTACCGTGAGCTTTGTTTCGGAGATCTAATTGTGGGATTGATTGGTGTGCCTCGAGGGCCACCTCCTGAGGAATTTGTCATATCATGTAAATAAAATAAACTATTTAAATTGGCCAAATCATTATATAATTGAATCAAGCTCGAATGCATTGGCTTAAGAAATTCAATAATATAATATTATCAAATGGTTTAAGAGAAATTAGCACACAAGTATGTATGTAGAAAAGAAATCAACTGGATGTGTGTCGTAATATGTCTGTGCGTTGATGATATATTATATTTAGCCCTATATTTGAAATATTGGAGGAAATGAAAAGGTCCTTAGATCTAACTTTGATATGAAGGATATAAAAGAGCTGATCTCATACTAGATATCAAAATAGTAAGAAAGGATGATGCTTTCATCTTTAGCTTATTCTCAATACATTGAAAATATGCTCAATAAGTTTGAGGATGGTAATCAAATGACAAGACTCACATCTATAAATCCTCATACACCATTGATGCAATAAATAGCGATGTATTTCTCAAATTGAGTATGCGGAATTAACTAATAGTTTAATTTGCTTATGCAACGAGTTGTATAGGCATGATAATGCATATGCAGTGGACAAACTTAATAGATTTATTAGTCACCTAAATAGAGAGCATTGGAAAGTAATCTCTCAAGTTTTGAGGTATTTGAAATGAACTATTAATTTTCGCATATATTTCAATGGGTAACTTGCGGGTGTCGGAAGGATATAGTGATGCACGTTGGAGCACGGAACTAAAAATATTCAATGTCCACATCGAGATAGGTTTTAACCTTGGGAGTACGGGCTTTGTCACGGGTTCAAAGAAGCAATTGTGTATTTCTCATTCTAGGA